TGTCCTTGGTATAAAAATCATTTTGTATGACACATTTTTTCCATGATCTTTACCTTTGCAACGAATATGTGCCATAAATACGAGGGCTGCTCCGTAAGTTTTGCGACTAAGTAAGGAAAACACGGTAATTTGTCATTGAAAATGGCTTTATTGTTTTTCAAAGTATTCTCCATGATGATCAATACACTTCTGCATTCGCTCAAACCATTTATTATAGCATCCATGCCACTCCGAAAGTGGTACCTCCAAAACATGTGTTTTAAACGCATCAACCGCTTCTTCTGGCGTCGAAAATCGTTGACCACGCAGTTTATTCTTGATGTTCGGGAACAAAAAGAAGTCATTGGGTGCCAAATCAGGACTGTACGGTGGATGACCCATTAATTCGATATTTTCACTGGTCAAATAAGCGGTTGTTTGAGCCGATGTATGAGAGCTCGCATTGTCATGGTGAAGAATGATTCGTCGTCTTGAGTTGTTTTTCCTTATTTGGCCGAAGACTTCTGGCAAACAAATGGTTGTGTACCACTCAGAATTGACCGTTCTACGTTTCTCTAAGGGTACTGTTGCCACATGACCAGTTTTTCCGAAAAAACAGGCGACCATTTGTTTCGAAGTGCTTCGAGCGCGAACAACTTTTGTTGGGTTAGGTTCACTTTGAAAGACCCACATAGTCGACTGCTGTTTAGTTTCCGGCTCATATGCATAGATCCATGACTCGTCACCTGTGTAGAGGTTATATACGGCATTTGACGCATCTCGATCGAATTTCTTCAGCATTTTTTTGCACCAATTTACACGATCCTTTTTTTGAGCAATTGTCAAATTATACGGGATCCAACGTGAACAAATTTTTTTTACGGCCAAATGTTCATGCAATATCGTTTGTATGCAATTCATACTAACACCCAGAGATGCCTAAATCTCACGGTATGTCACATGTCGATCTTGCATTATTAATTCACGCACAGCATCGATGTTTTCTGGCACAGCAGCTGATTTTGGACGACCTTCGCGAGGTTCGTCGGTGAGCGAACTACGACCACGATTGAATTCATTAAACCAGCGACAAATAGTGGCCTTGTGTGGTGCTTCATTGCCAAAAGTGGAAGCAAGTTGATCGATGCACTCTTGTCTCGATAATCCACGTCGAAAGTCGTAGAAAATCA